ATGAAGATATTTCAATTTTTTAAAGGATATTTTAATTTTATCATTCCTTGAAATTTCTCCATATTGTTGTGACAAGCTAAAAAAGAGATCTCAGCAAGGTGTCAGAGGACAATGTTTCTATTTGGTCAGCAGTCAGAGTGTTAGCTCTCACCTAAGCCACTCTGGCCCCGAGTGATTAAAGACGGGGCTTTTAATACTGTGGAATAAACAAGATGCAGAGGCAGGTGGAGTTATGCTATATGGAGAAACAGGAACTTGCTGAACTTCTTATTTTTATGTAGCAAATGCTAGTTGCCTCTTCAGTTTCAGTCCCAAGGTGCATGACTTCATGAAGCTTCCTTAAAATATAGGGGGAAAGGGTTTACAAGCAAGATCAGCAAATTTTTTTTAAAAAAGGTAATTGGTCATCAGTTAAAAAAAGTGTTACAGTAGTTACAAAGGGACAGAATTGGGCTAATACAAAATGGTTACACTTAGGCCAACTAATACAAAATGGTTACATTTACCCTAAATTGGGCTACTTACAGTATCTACCTTTGGGCTACTTACTAGTATAGTTTATTAAACGAAGGTAGAATAAATGCTTGATATTTGACGAGTTTTCCCAATAATGAATTAATCCAATAACAATGACTAACAATAATAGCAATAACTAACGATTTTTATTCACGCGTCAGTATAAACTCATGGGTTTACATATTTTTGTGTTTCAGTTCATCAGAGTTGACTCCTGGGCCCTATAGCCAGAGCCACACTAGTCTTTGATCACTTTCTTGCTGTTTGGTGTGATAGGATGCTCCAGTTTCAGATACGTGCTTTGCTGTACCATAACTGACCTTGCAGTTTTTAAAGAAGCCTTGGTATCTTTTCGTAGAAATCGTATTTCAAGACCAATCTGAACACACTGCCTATCCAGGCAAATGGAATTTCTCTCCTTTTATTTAGATCATTGTGGGTTGCCTTGTAGTTTTTCTTGCAAAGGCTTTCAAAGAGCAAGCATTTTCTTTCTGATGACATTTCAGCTTATTCAGGTTTCTTCCCTTTTGTATTCATGCTTTTGTGTTTTAGGAAATCTTGGCTTAGTCCAAGGTGCCAAAACTTTCTTGTTCTAACAGTTTTCCATTTGATCATGTTTAGGTTGATGATTTATTTTTGAGTCAGTTCTTATGTATGATGCACGATATATGGCTTGATTTTCTTAATTAAATAATCTAATTCTTTTAGTGATTATTTTTTTAAAGATCATTGTCCCATTGAATAACCTTAGGGGGGAAATGAGTTTTCTTGTAGTGTGGGTAGTATATTTTTTCACTGTGTTTTTAGCTAGGATATCTCTTATCTACTTGATACGAACTCCATAATCTTGTTTTTGGCCTTTTTTCCCCCCTATGCTACAAAACCATGGAAACCTTTAGTAAGCAAAACTATGAAAATGTGAAGCTATTATTTCTTGACATATCCTTTATTTAGTTCTGTATACTTCTGAAGATAGCGTTTTCTTCCCTGAAGAAGTCTGCTGTCTCTGAGTTACACCACATGAAAATAACAGTTTTGTCATCCTGAAGGAACTCAAATTGTGTTCCTTCTAAAGGTCCTTTTTTTTAAAAAAAAAAAATTGGGGAACAAGGGGGGAGTCTCAAGGGGCAAGAATCAGGGCTGTAGGGTGAATGGAATAAGATGGATTTCTGATGAAATTCTCATAGGACAACCCTTGCTGTTGTCGAAGAATGAGAAAGTACATTGTTGGGATGGAAAAAAAAATTCTTACAGCTTTTCTGACCTTCTAAAGGTCACCAAAGCAGTTTTCTATTAAAATATCTTCCTGATAAGCCCCCATGTCACACTGGTGGTGTAGTTGGTTACATTTGGGGTAGTTAACCACAAGGTCAGCAGTTCAAACCCACCAGCCACTCCATAGAAGAAAGATGAGACTTTCTATATCCCTGAAGAGTTACAGTATTGGAAATCCCCAGCGATAATTCTACCTTATCTTACAGGGTCTTTATGAATTGGAATTGGTTTGATGTCAGTAAGTGAATAAGCCCCCTGTAAATTGGCCTCTGTCCTTAAAGAAAATTTGTTTAAGAGTATCTCTTTCAATTCCATAATATCTTTATTGTTATTACTTCTTTAATTTTGAAAGTGGAGGAAATTGTATGAAAAAACAAAAATAAGCCTCAGAGAAAATTATTAGCTATCTTTGAATATTATGATTTCTTCTATTTGGGCTTTTAGCAGTTAAGAGAGCCTGTATAGTATATAATCAATACTTGAAATTTCTGATTACCTATATACTCGAGTATAAGTCAACCCGAATGTCAGCCGAGGCACCCAATTTTATCACAACAACTGCATTGAAAATGTGGTAAAAAACTCGGCTTATACACAAGTATATACGGTAGATTAGATTACCAATGTGAACTTCATACAAAATCCATCATTATTAGTATTGTGTACTTAAACATTGACCGGGGCCTGCAGTACAGTGAGGGCAGTGAGGGGTTTGATTGAGGCCACTTGGCTTGTTGCTTTTGTGGGCACCACTCCCCTGGCCAGCAATGCCCCAGTAGCTCTTGGGTGCTGCTCTGAGCAATGTCAGCCTTTACCCTCAGAAGCTGGTGGGTACTATGGGGGGAAAAACAAGGTGATAGTGAAGGAGGCGGTAGAAGAAGAGAAAGAGGAATGTGGTGGAAACGGTTCTTCACTGTCGGGTGATACAGGGCAAAGTGGAATACTCCTAACGTAGAAGGGTTTCTAGGAGGAGGACAACACATAGGAGCAGAAGAGAACCTGGATTGTCCCAACCTCATTGTCATGTTTCTGCAGTCACACAAAACCACCCATGAGATAGATGATCAAAGGGAGGCAAGTGCAAATCTGACTTTGATTCAGAAGATAAGGAGAGGAAGTAAACCAAAGAAGAAGAAAAAAGTCAGAAAAGCCATGAAGTTTGGAGACAGAGCAGATTATTGGCGATACAAACTCCAGTGGAGAAGTAGTGTTCTGAATTAAATGGAACCACTGAAGACCTCTAGTCCCTGCCAAGGAAGCCAATGGCAAGTGCCCATGGGTGTCATACCTTTCTATGAGGAAAGACCGGCATGGCATTCCTACCCCTCAAATGATGCTGACAGAACAAAGACGACAACTAATTCCCATGGCTGTGGGCTTAAATGGGGGTAAAAGAGTTGTACTTGACACTGTCGAAGGGGCTTGAGAAGATGTCCTCTGAAGAGTCAGTATAGTTTCTGTGCTCTGCAAGCAAGCAGCCCAAGTGCTGTCAAGCTGTAGAGATTGCACACCCACCCCAGTGGAGGGGAAGCAGATAGTGTTTCAAGGCAACCTATTCTGTACTTTGCTGAGAAATGCAAAAGGGCCTTCTATGAAGGACAGAACTTGCAGAATAGATGTGGGAGAGCAAAGAGATACTGTAGATCTTCAAAGATCATCTCCTACAACCCACAACTTTCTTCCCGTGATGTGTCAACTACACTTTTACAGCACATGTGTGTAATTTTCAGCTATTACAGGTGTATTATTTGGAGTTGGGAAGGTGGGTGGGAAAGAGGGAGATGGGTAGGATCATTTTTGTTAAAATTTGAGGCCTGATTGGGGAAATTGTGAAACAGTAGAACAAACACCGACTTGATACTAACACGGGACTTCCGGAAAGATGGCGCCCATGTAGAATCACCCACTCTTTGCTCCCATTGTTAGATCAGAAAATCAAGGGGATGTGGCTGTTAGCTGGAGAGCCAGAGCAGCCGGAGACCCATGAGCAGGCCGGAGATCCGGAGCAGAGCTCTTGTCTTCTCTGGGCTGTGGATACCGAGCTCAGTCAGTTTCCGAGGACATCCTCAGCGATGGCAGCAAGGTGGTCAAACTGCCCGCCCTCACATTCCGTTCCAACCCCAAACATCAGAGAATTACAGTCCTGAGGGTAGGGGAAGAGGGGTGGGTTGGGGAGGCGGACCTGATAGCATTGATGACTGAATAATCCCAGTTGAGGGGAGTGAACAGCAGAATTGTATGCGAGTGGATGTATTAGATGGTGTAAGACATGGAAATAAATAAGGGTTCTTAGGGGGGGCAAGGTGCGGGAGAGAAGAGATACAGAGGAGCTGATACCAAGGAGTTCAGGAAGAAAGAAAATGTTTTGAAACTGATTGTGGTAGCAATTGTATAGTACTGCTTGATGTGATTGAACTATGGGATGTTATGATATATGTAAGAGCTCCCAATAAAATGATTAAAAAAAGTTTTTGGCAATGTAAGTGAGGACCGAAACTTGAAAGTGCTGGGACCTCGAAATGATTAACGGAACTAGTACCAACACTGCCATTTTGGAGGGGAGAATGTTTTTATTGGAACGTATGCACAAGCAGATTGGTAGGGCTTAGAGGTGCTCGTTCTTAAAGCTGCCAAGAAGAACCTTTCTATTCCAGTAAGTCAGAAATACCAGCTTGTCCATTCAAGCTTTTGGCTGAGAGCTCTTTGGGGGAGGTGTCGGAGGTGGGAGAGGAAGTGGGAGAAAAACAAAGGTCTGCGGATGCTCTATGGTGAAAAACTCTTGAAGCCACTTCGTTTTTTAACTTTGAACACTGAAACCATTGATGTCAGAGTTAAAACACTAACAGCACAAATTTCACTGAATCAATTCAAGGGTTGAAAGATTTCGAAAGCCCTGGTCTCAGGAGTGAACTTTCACACCGGGGCAGTGGTTCACTTAAAAAAAAATCCTAAGAATTAACTGATAGCCAAAATGCTTTTGTCTTACATGAGATTCATCCGTTTTTGACATCATGTAAATTGCATCTAGAGCTGCACTGTAAACTTAGACATGTTAGGTTTCTGTGAAAACTGTTAACGTCATAGTACCTTTGTCATCTTAACTATAGATTTAAAAAAAGTATAGAGATGTAGTCATTTCTTTACAGAAAGCTTATGTATTATAATTATGCTAACAGTTACATAACTGCTGATTTCTTGTTATTTTATAGTTTATCTTGAGGAAAGTGATCTAGCTAAACAACTTCATCCAAAGGAAAATGATTTGGTGTTCCTGGTTCCTGAAAGATTAAATGGAGAGAACAACAATGCAGAAAGAAATTTCTTACTAGATCCCTATGAATATTATTATTGTGGTTATGTTTATAAATTTCGCCGCACTTCAGTCAGTAAGTAAACAGAGGGGTAATGAAAATGAATCTACTAGACAAATGTTAGAGAATCCATTTTCCTAATATCCGTCCATGTTGTGTTTAACCAACTATGTATTTGTTAATATGTTCTCCAGGCACGTATTCCTCTGCTGATTACTAGTCAATTTAAAGTCCTCCTCATAGTTTTTTTCAGACTCACCTGGAAAGGGCCTGGGATTTATTGCTATTATTTTGTGATTTAAAAATTTTCTTTTATAACATTCCTCTGCTTTTGGTGCGTTCTTTATTTTGCAATTTTATTTCTTTTTATAAAAGCCAATTTGTGTACCTTAAATCATAGTTAAGCCTTGGTTTGGGCACTAATTACTGTGCTTGCTTCATAGTCCTTAACGCGATCTTAAAGGCTTATTTGGTTATACAACCTCCCCCAAAATTAGCTTTGTGAGGACAGTAACATGGCTCTTAAGAGGCATGTGCAGTAAATGTTTATTGTATGAATTACTTAAATAATATGCTGGAAAACATAAGCTTCAAAATAACTAATTCTAAGTAACCTTTTACACTGACAGTTGTGTACTTTGGTAACTGGAATTCATTTTCTTCTTGATAATAGTGCGTAATGGGAAAGCGGAGTGTTTCCTCTCCATCCAGACACAAGACAATTTGCCTGTCAATTTGAATGAACTTGTGAAATGTGTGGTAATCAGTTCTTTGGTAACTACGCAAAGGAAGTTGAAAGCCATGTCTCTGTTGAGTGGCCGGAACCAACTGGCCAGAGCTGTTCTGAATCCAAATCCCATGGACTTCTGTACGAAAGATTTACTTACCACCACATCTGAGAGAATTGTGAGTTACAAATACATGATACCAGGGAAAGGCATGAAGCTTCAGGTCAGACTGTTAGCTGCTAAATACTTTGTTGCATGTCTGCAACAAAGAAATTGTCAGTGTGAGCCCAACTGGGACCTTGTTTAGTAGTGCTTAGTTGGTTTTCTTTAAGATGTGCATGCCTTTAATACTGGTGGGGGGGGAAATCTATAATTAGGTTACTCATCAGAACCTCAGGAAGCAGTTCAGTTTAAGAATTAAGGTTTTAAAAAGTGAGGTCAATATCTTACTGAAGGGTTTATTAGGTTATTAAAATTCAGAGGTAGGTATAATGACTTTATTTTGCATTTGAATGATAGACAACTTGACAGGTAATGCTACAAGTGTGAAGATGAAGTTGTTATTTTGCATCAGCATTTCTTTTATGACTGTAAGAGCTGTATATATGTAAATTCTAGGAAATTAACCTAGAGAAAGTTACAGAAAACTTTATTCTTCACCTTTTGGTAGTAGGTGTCTAGATGACAGAAAGAAAGCCTTGCTATTACAATGCATAAGGTCAGTGGTCATAACCAACAGCCCAGCTGCTCCATAGGAAAAAGATGTGACAGCTTCTGCAAAGAGTTAAAACCTTGGAAATTTTGTGGGACAGTTCCATTCTGCCTTACAGTGTTGCTAAGAGTCAGAATCAGCTGCTGGTAATGAGTTTGGATAGGTCTAACTTTGTAATGCTCGGGATCACCATGAGTTGGAATTGACTCAGTGGTAACAAGTTTTGGCTTACTGTGTGCTTAGTGCTTTTATGTGCATTAATTACCTCATTCAATGTGCACCCTCTAAGGAATCCCAGGTTTAATGGATGACAAAGTAAAACTGAGGTTTAGGTTCAGATCTCATGCCACAGGTCATGCTCTTCCCAGTACATGAAATGGTGTTAGAATATAGTTTTTTATATTGATTAGCTAAAATATAATCAGAAAATAGTCACCAGAAAATTATAGAAGTAAATGTAATTTATTGTGATCTTCTTTGTAAGAATCACAAACAAAAATTCTGTTGTAATAGTTGTATAAAATGGACTGAAAAGTCTGCAGACGCTTATAAATAATTAGCTTTTCTTCTTCTAGTGAAAGTGGCTCTTAGATTAAAGGTCACTTTAGGGCAGAGGTTCTCAACCTTCCTAATGCCGTGACCCTTAATACAGTTCCTCATGTTGTGGTGACCCCAACCATAAAATTATTTTGTTGCTACTTCATCACTGTCATTTTGCTACTGTTAAGAATCGGGCGACTCCTGTGAAAAGGTCATTTGACACCCCCACCCCCAAAGGGGTCACGACCCACAGGTTGAGAACCACTGCTTTAGGGTCTTACATGAGCAAAACCAAAGCTGCTGGCTGGTGTAGATGAGAATAAATTCAAATGTTTTTCATTATCTTCTTCGTGTGCCACTGCTAAGACAACAAAAACTCAATTAATACCTTTTATGTAGATTGGCTATTTAAGAGACTTCAATGAAGACCAGAAGAAAGCAATAGAAACTGCCTATGCCATGGTGAAACACTCCCCATCAGTTGCCAAAATCTGTCTGATTCATGGACCTCCGGGAACAGGGAAATCAAAGACCATTGTTGGCATCCTATTCCGCCTGCTAACAGAGGTAGAGTATAACTGAGGGCACTGGTGCTGTTAATCAAGCACGTTGCTTTGTCTTACTTGGAAGTTTAAGTATGAATTTTTTTTTTCCCCTTTCAGTTTTGTGTGTTTGATGTTGTTCATTCTCTGGAACTGTATCAGATCAGAGGGTATAGAGGGAGGGAAGGAAGGCTGTAAGAAGAAAAAGCAGAAGTTGCTCTCTCATGTGAAACTAATCCTAAGGGTCTTAATTCTGGCTTCATTATTGGTCCCATTTAGAGACGAGAAACCAACTTGTATGTATTCTTGGGCTGCATTTGGGGGATTGAGTTTTCATTAAAATAATTGTATGGTGAGGCAAGGTTCAGCATAGTTAGGATAAAATTTTATGCCAGAATGATTTTAATATTTTAAATCAAAAAGACGTATGAGCTTTTCCTTGTTTCGGTACAGTGGAAACTTTTGAGTACATATGGAAGGTAGTGAGTAACTTTAAAACTACGTACTAGAGCTCATCAGTATTTTGGATTTGTGTTGTGTGACAAATTGTAGAACCAGAAAAAGGGATATTCCGATGAAAACTCCAATGCCAAAATCAAGCAAAACCGTGTTCTTGTGTGTGCACCATCAAATGCAGCTGTTGATGAACTTATGAAAAAAATTATCCTCGAATTCAAGGAAAGATGTAAAGACAAGAAGAATCCATTAGGTATGACCTTACATGGACTTTTCATTGGGTTTTGTTTTGGACGTTTCTTATAGACAACTTTGAATGACAACGTGCAAGAAAATCCTGGTAATCACTTGTGATTGCACTTATAGCCCAGGTGTACTTAAGAATTCATTTACTTTCAAATACTGTACCTATGTATTCAGGTTTCAACAGAAACCAAAAGCATGGTTTTAACTACAAGGAAACAACTAATGAGAAGTGGGCAGCTGGTTATTGGCAATTATGGTACAAATATTCCCAAAGTGGGCAATACTTTCCAAGTTGTTCCCACAGTGGGCAATACTAACCTCCATGGTGAGGGGACTGCAAGAACAGATACCTACAATTTATCCTGAATGATGGGCTACGATCAAAAAGTTTCTCACTGCTGGGGGGAGGGGGTGTTACTAATTTGTTTCCTGCAGTAGCATGGTTGGCCAAATAAATTTGGGAACCTATGGTATAGAGCAGCAAGTTCTAGGACTAAGTCATAAAGTGTTCCTGTGAAATCACAGAATTGTGTAGTAAAGAAACTAAAATATCACAAGGCCAAGATGATGTTCAGATCCATCCATCTAGGTGTGCACACTGATGCCTCCTTGACCCTTTCCTGAAGCATGCCGCACTTTTCAATTTTCACCATCCTTGAGGGCCTCAATCAATGTTCTTTGAGTTCTTTTACAATATTTTTTTTATTTCGGGGAACAAAAAGCCATCTGAGAGGATAGGATCTGTGCTGTAGGGTAGATCAGGTAAGGTTTCCCAATGAAATTCTTAATAACAACCCTTGCTACCATCAGTGAATGAGCAGGTATTGTGATGGGAACACAATGCTTTGGTGCAACTTTTCCTGGCCTTTTCTCACTGATTTAGTTTTCAGTTTTTAATTTTTATGTTACTGTCAATTATAATTGTGTAGGCCAGATCCCCCATCTCATTGTAAATTTATTATAAGTATTCAGGTGGTTGTTTAGTGTCAACACTTTGGATTATTGGGCTGGCATCATGTTTTCTTTTTAGAGAACTCCCTTTAATATTTCTTGCAGGGCTAGTTACAAATTCCCCCTAATTTTTGTTTATCTGGGAAGATCTTAATTTCACCCTTACTTTGAGTGACAATTTTGCTGGGTAAATTATTTCTGGTTGATAGTTATTTTCTTTCAAAGCTTTGTATGTCACCCCATTGCCTTCTTGCCTATATAGTTACTGGTGAGAAATCAGCATTTCGTCTTATTGATGCTCCTTTGTTAGTGACACATCCTTTATCTCATGACTGCTCTCAAAAGTCTTCATCTTTGTACCTGGTATCCCAGTAAAGTTACTGTGATATCTAGTTGATAGTTGATGTTAACGCTCATATTTGATTGTGAATAAATTTGTTTCAAGAGAGATACTGTGTGCCAGAGATAGGATTGAGTCCTTTTTAATCTATCTGTGTGTGTATGATTTATCAATAGGAAACTGTGGAGATATAAATTTAGTACGACTAGGACCAGAAAAGTCTATTAATAATGAAGTCCTGAAGTTCAGCTTGGATAGCCAAGTTAACCACAGAATGAGTAAGTAATGACTGAATAATTAACCACATACAAGCAATGTCACTTATTTTCTCCTTTTATTGTAGACAGTTGCTTGGTAATCTGGATATCCGAGAATAGGCTAACTTTGATAGTTAGCTTTTTCTTTCTGTTGCATGTATGTGTGTTTGTTAGAATTATAGCATATCTTTTATTTTTATTTTAGAAAAGGAGTTACCTTATCATGTTCAGGAGATGCATAGAAAAAAAGAGTTTCTAGATCGTCAGCTAGATGAACTTTCCCGCCAGCGTGCTTTGTGCCGAGGTGGAAGGGAAATACAGGTATGTGCATATTTTGGGATTAGTTCTTTTAAGGTAATGACTTGGGTACATAAACTTGCTGATAACTTTTATTGAGGAATTTCGTAATTCATGCACAAAAATATGTATTACCAATTTTTAAATGCCTATAATAAAGAGGTATATTTTATATTGGGCTTAACAGATTTTTTTAGACTTAATGGAATATATGTTCACTGTTGCAATTACTCAACTCTGCTATTGGAACATGAAAGCAGCCATAGACTGTACAGAAACAAACGGATGTGCCTGGTACCAGTAAAACTTATTTCCAGAATCAGACAGCAGGTTAAATTTGTCGCCTGTGGTCTCCTGACCTCTGCTTTATCTTTTCTTTTCTTTTTTTTTTTTTTAGGCAGTGAGTGAGTGAGGCAGTGAGAGAGTGAGTGAGTGAGCGGGTGAGAATGAGGCAGTGAGAGAGTGAGAAAGAGACAGTGAGAGAATGAGGCAGTGAGAGAGTGAGACAGAGAGAGAATGAGGCAGTGAGAGAGTGAGAATGAGACAG